CAGCGCTGTCCAACTGGCGGCCCGCCAAATAATTTTTACGGCCCGCGAGTACATTTTACTATGAATAAATTTATGTTACTAAATTATTATTATTAATAAAATTATTTTACTACCGTGTTTCCCCGAAAATAAGACAGTGTCTTATATTAATTTTTGCTCTGAAAAATGAGCTAGGTCTTATTTTCAGGGAATGTCTTATTTTTCCAGGAAGAAGAATTCACATTTATTATTTAACAAAAAAATTCCCAAGTCTAAGTTAGACGAGAGTGACGTATATCCCGTGTGTCGAACTGTCGCCTTTTTATAGCGTCAACATTGGACTCGCTGACCAATTAGTGCTTACTGAACCGTAGCACTATGCAAATGTCATGTGGTTTATCAACAACCTTTCTTGGCCCCTGAAATGTTTGGTGAAGAAAATATGGCCTGCGGGCTATGATAAGTTGGACAGCGCTGACCTAGAAGATGAAGCCCTAAACTGGTACATTGAGCACTCGGACAATCAAAGTTGGGAAGAATTAAAACAGACTTTTGTGAGGAGATTTGGATTACAAGCCACCAAGCCTATTGTGGATTTCGTAAGGTTAAAATATGACCAAAAATAAGAATAAAAAATTATTTCAAAAAAAAAAAAAAAAAGGTCAGGGAAGTTATCACAATTGAAAGACTTCCAAATAATACTGCTAATGATAGAGGGGTTATCCCGAGAAATGGCAAAATATTTCGTAACCGTAAGACCAAAAACTTTTGTAGAATTTTATGAAATAAGCCTGAGAATTGAAGAAAATTTAAAACAAAAATGAATCAATAAGTCACAAGGAGTGATTTTGGTTATGGGATGGAAGAATTTAATTCGGAACACAAAAGAAAGCCAAATGCTTGTAAGATGTGTGAGAGTTTGGGATACCAAAATAGGTTCTATTGGGCTCAAGACTATTGGAATAAGCAAAAATTGCCTGAATGAAAGGAAAAGTAAATCTTGCTGAGGTCAAAAACAATGAAGAATGAAGTGAAAGTAAAAAAGTGGAGACAAAGTGCGAGGAAACAAATCATAAAATAGAAGAGACCAACAAGGAAAGTGTTCAGGAAAATGAATTAAATGAAGTCAAAATCGAGGACACAATACAAAATGGCCAATTCCCTAAAAGTATTAATGAAAGAAATGATAACGATACAAATAAAAATGGTTTTCAATACAAAAAAGGAACAGAAATTAACAATATTGAAGATTTAAATGGGTTGAAAGACAGAAATCGAAAAGTACAAGAAACATTAAGAGAGACATTACCAGATGAATTATCCAATTCAGATCTGAATGTCCTTCAAGATAATTCAACAGATTTTATCTGTTTGACAGACAGCAGCAAATGTTTGAGTAAATAGACCTCTATTCTTCTAACAATGGGTATTTTAATAGGAATCATCGTCGGTCTGGTGACAATTGTAGGAATAACAACAAGATTATCTGTTTACATTTTCCACCGTTGGAATTACAAAAGAAACCACGAGACAAATCTAGAACCTCAAAAGTGCATAGAATAGTTAGTTCTACAACACGAAGACCTGTCAAAAATCAATCTACAAAGTGAAAATTGAATCTACGAGAAGTAATGGAAGAAAATGATTCCCATGTAAACACTTGGATCTAAAAGCAGGGGAATGTAAAGGTGTGGGCTATAAAAAAAAAAATATCTGGCAACATCAGAACAGAAGCTTCGAGATCTGACAACACTGAAACAGAAGTTTCAAGAAGGTGAAGAAGGAAGGACCACGTGTTAAAAAACAGAAATCAAAAGACGGGAAAAGAAACTTTACATATATATTCAGCCATATTCCACTATTCAAATCTAATGTATTCTTGAAAATGATTCAAATAGCAGATTTCCTGATATTCAAATCTGTAAGGATTACATTATTCCCTTATGGAAAAAATTTTAACTTATTCCAAGTCTATCCAAATAACACCATCCAATTTTTCCAAACGATACTAAAACTGTAAAAAACAAACCTATTTACCTATCAATCTATGTTTTTAGCAGGATATTAACTATTATAAACTCCAATTTCCTTACAAGAATGAAGCATTAATGCCAAGCATTTAATTACATATCAAACATTAAATGAAATAAACTATAGCCCAGTTTAATCCGGCAATTGTTTGACTTCAGGTTTAAATGTTTATATTTTTATCACTTCAAAGATTAAATTTAGAGTATTTTCATATCTTTACTAAGTAAAATATTTAACAAAAATGTTCAGGCAATTCTAACAATTTATGTAGAGCAAATAATTAATCTAAAAATAATTTAAATAAATAATGTGTAAAAATGGTAAATGTCAACTCTATCATCAATAAATACATTAAAAAAATTTATCATATTTCAAACTGGATTCTAAAAAAAATTAAAAACAAGTATTTAATATTAAGAACATATTAATATTAAATAACATGTTAATATTCACTACTTTTTTAAAACTCTGCTCTATGTATACTAAGAGGGACTTTTTCATACTCATCATGGGTACACCAAGCCCACAATGGGGCAACTGGGTGATGAGGAACAGACTGCCCACAAAAAATTCAAGGGTTTTTGACTGTCTAGATTTGACCCAGGTTCCCAAAGCATTGTGCTGATTGATGCCTTAACTGCCTTGACCCCCCCATCATCAATATTTGCTGCTGAGGTCTTCTCTTTATTTTTATAAGTGATTTAGAAAATATATGATTTCATCAATAACCAATGATGTTTCATTATTTTATTTATATATTTAGCTTCTTTTAATTGTTTCTAATTTTAAGAAATATATGAACTGAAATAAATATTAATTTAAAAAATTTAGTTTTAATACTAGAAAAGCAAATATTACTAAAACAATTTATAATTTACCTAGAGAATTTTTATTTATTTCTCCTTCAAGATGATATTGAGTCTCTTGCTGAAAAAATTAGTATATATCCTTTATTAAATAAAAATATAAATTAATAATATTTTAAAATATAATACCTACTTTTGCTTCTAATATCACAACAATTGTCTGATGAGGATGATTTAGTATATCAAAACCTAAATGTTCAGCAAATGTATGGAACTCTATAGCATCCATTGCAACAAAACTCAGAGTACGATTTGTTCTGCAACCAAGACCTGAAAAATTGCTTCTCCAATCAGATGCTATCACCTGAGATACATTTGGAAAACTAACATTGCTGTAATTCATAGCTACGTAAAAATGCCTGCATTTCTTCTTTTCCATAATTTGTAGTAATTTCATAACTCTATCATCTTGTACACCTACTGATTTACTTCCATAGAGAATATCTGAAGCAAATTCATCTTTAAAGTTTTGATCATGACAATTTACTGATATATGATGATAAGAGCCATAATTCAGAGGATATTCAAAATCAATGTTAGCACAACTATGGAATAACAAATAATTTGGAATCTTGACATGTTTTATTGTTTTGGAAATAATTTTATCACAGTTACTTTTACTGGAAATCTTTTTTTGTTCCCCAGAATAAAGACAAGCTACACATGAACATTTATTTAGAGGAAACTGATTACTTTCTATTGATTGACAACATTGCTGAGTACAATATTTACAACTTTTATATTCCTGAAATGATGAAATATATGATGCACATTTTTCTTTGAGATGATTCAATTCCTGTTGTAAAGCATATCGTTTTAAAATCAAATGTTGTATAAGTGATTTAACAGAAGTAGAAGAATTACAATTGTAAAATTCTAGAGCTGTTTCTCTGAGCTATAAAATAAATTATAAAATTATTATGAATCAATAATGAAAATTTTATTTTAAAAAAAAATTCAAACTTACTAAATCATAATATGGTGCTAAACCAGCCATTTGATTTCTTGGTGTAAATAATAGGAGAATTGGTGATTTTTCAATTATTTGTGAAAGTAAACTGCTTTTTGTTCCAGGTGGTGTTAGCCAAGAGGTTACCTATAAATAGACATTTTTCGAAGTAATCAAAATTATTACATTTTATATAGAAAAATTATAAATTTTATTTATTTTATACAGATTGTATTACATTTAAAAAACTTAACAAAGCCCAAAAGAATATGCTTTAATATAGGAAATGCCTGGAGGAACACAATATAAATGGAGGATCTGATCAAAATCCCAAAATCAATCAAATTCCAAAATTAAAAGCTAGTTATTGTCACAGTTCTAACATTTTCTTAATAAAATGAAAATTTCAAAAGAATAATTTCAAAAAAATTTTGATAAATACATATTATATTTTATTATAAATACATAAAAGTAAATTATAAAAAACATTAATTGTGAATTAATTTGTTTATTATACACTTTTGCATGTTTTCATTTTAATATGCTATTACAGTATAATTTGTCTTAAAGAAATCAGATTTATTTTTTATATCAAGCTAAACATATAAAGATTACTCTACAATAATTGATTCTACTATAAATTAAAAGCAAAATACTTCAAAACATTATAATTGTCACAAAATTGTTTGTTGTTTACAAAATTAATAAAATATTTTCTTTAATTTCAAATTGCTATAATTTTCTAGAA